GAAAATAATAATAATAGCGCTGTTTTAACAGCATCCTCTTTCATCTGCGAGCAAATGCACCCACCTCAGAATACGCCCAAATGCTTGTTGATGGAGCTGCAGAAGCTGGTGATAGCCTAGGATGGTGGACACGTACATGCTCATGCAAGTTAGTCGTGTTTGAGTACTTTGCTCGCACTATACGTCTGCACAAGCGGCACACCGCTTTGGTTAGATCCTTAGGTTTACCTCTTTCATCCCAAATGAGCAACTTTATATTTTATTTTAGTGTTGTCAGCATTAACGCACCGTCATCACAACTATCGCGATTAAGAATGAACCCATCTGGAGTCAAAATCCCTGAAATGTCTCTGTCAACGCATTTCGGGCAGTTTGTCCAAAGTTTGTTCATTCTGCGCTCTAGATGGGTTGAGCACATTAAAAATTTTGATCGTGATGACCACGTTAACGCTGTCATCCCTTATTTTTTGGGCAAATTAGTTCGTCCATGTTTGGACTTCTTCTGTGTTGTAACCACGTGCATGACTACATTGCTTCGCCCATCAAAAAGTCTGCACATGCGCACATGTATCGCCCATCGCCGATTATTGGACTGACAATTGCCAGTTGGAAAATTTTTACATATTGCCCAACCCTAATCTTCACTGTTGATGAGAGTTTCCCAGCAAGTGTCCAAGCCCCAAGAAGGCGCATCAGGGCAGGAGTAGTTCTCAAGGTTTTGCGTTGTGTACTTTTCCTCCACAGTTAGACCATCACTGCAGAAATTTACATTAATGTTCTGAAGCATCACAGAGGGAAGTGTGCCTCCTCACAGTGGGTTTTAAAACAAATTGAAACAATATTCATCTGTGTGCTGATTCTTAGTTGCTAATTAAAATATAAGTTCACTTAGTTAATTCAAGAGGATAAAACTAAAAGGGTCATATTCAAATCTGATGCCTACCATCTCTTCCATCTGGATTCAGCATAGTTGTTAAGACAGTAGAGTAGATTTACTGTTATTAGCTGTCATTTCAAATCTGTGATCTGTGCCTCTTATATGTGAACAACTCTTGCAGTTATATTGGGCGGAAACGAATGCAGGTGGACCATCCAGAGAAGTCGTTACCAAACATCCACAATCTGGTGGAGGCCGACTATTCCTACTGGACTCTTGGCTACATGTTGTCGTTACAAGGAGCCAAGAAGCTCCTCGGTGCAGATCCTCTAAGGAAGATGCTGCCTGTTGACGAGTTCCTTCCTGTCATGTACAACAAACATCCAGTGTAAGTATAACCCATCTGCTCTCCACGTGTTCTCTTTGTTCCTGTTATCTGCCTCCTCTTTGTGATTTCTTTTCTGTGGCGCTCTTGTAAATCTAATCACATCCCCGCTTGTCTCGCTCATCAGATCAGAGTACATGGACCACTTTGAGCGTCGGGACCTGCGTGCATTTTCTGCTGAGCCGCTTCTGGTGTATCCGACCCATTACACAGGAGACCCGGGCTACATCAGTGACACGGAAACATCAGTAGTCTGGGACAACGAGTCAGTCAGGACCGACTGGGACCGAGCCAAGTCCAGGAAAACTCAGGAGCAAGAAGAGCTGAGTTTCGAAGCCCAAAACTCTGACGTATTGCAATCTGAACTGGAGAACTGGAGCGCACGGGACGAGCTGTGATGAAGGAGGGAAGATTTGAGGAGGAGTTAGAGAGAAAGAACTCTGGCATTCAGAGATAAGACTGAGGGAAATAGAGCAAAGCTGTGATAGTGGGAGGAAATAGAAAATATGGAGGGAATCTAACAAAGTGGTGGAATAAAGGAGTCATAGTGGAACAGATGGACAATGGGCTGATGAGGAACAAATTATTTTTCTCTCTTCACTATTGAATCTTTCTCTTGAGAGAGGAGGTTAGATGTAGAGTTAACTCTTGAACAGTCAGCTGTCAGCTTTTGTTTTATTTATTACATCCCATAGACGGCCCTTGTCCACCGCTGGTCTCTTAATAGTTTTTAACATGAGAATTTCACATGCAGTTTTGCATGTCTCCAAAAAACACTCCAGTAATGTTTCAACTGTCCAGAGCAATTTCACCAATACTTTCCCTAAATCACAAATTAAAGCTGCAGTATGTTCTGAGTTAAAATGTGACCTCCTAAAGAATAACAAGGTTATATTACGTTTCTTCTTCTACTGTCTAAAATTCTCTCTCTGGAGAAAACAATCACCAAAACATTTCCCAACATGGTTCCCAGCATGTTTGGCCACTTATTAGGGCTGCACGATTAATCGTTAGAAAATCGCGATCTCAATCCATACTTATGTGCGATCTCATTTCCAAATGACAACGATTTTTAAAAACAAACAAACAAACAAAAAAAACCCACGACGACAATTGTACCGCATTTTATCCGGGACGTAATCTGCATGAAAACAAGCGCTCACTCTTCCTGCTCAACAAATGACAAGGGCGGAGCCTTATACCACGTGATACAGAAGCTGTGCCGTGTGATGCTAAAATTAGCAGGGAAAAAACAACGGAGAGCACGTCAGGGATGACGAGAAAGTGACAGGAGAAAATCCGTCCCGGTCAACCACCCAAACACCAATAACGGGAACCTTATACAGCGCTTCCCTATACACGTCGAACTCCCGCAGGCACAAAGAAATTATGGAGGCTATCACTTATCACCTGACCAAAGTTATGGCTCCCATCAACACTGTGCAAAACGAGGGATTTAGGAAAATGATCAACACCCTAGACAAACGCTACACAGTGCCGTCCCCGCAACTATTTTTCTATTGTTGCACTACCTGCTCTATACACGCAGCGTCGAGCAACGGTGGAGACGGAATTTCAAGCAGTACAACATTTTGCGGCAACAACAAAACGTGAGACATTTGTTGTTTTTATGTTTATTTATTGGTTTTATGTTCAGTCTCAACTGTTACGAAGTTGATGTGCAGTTAATAAGTGCAATAAATATTTATACTGGAAAAGAAAATCGTGAGAGAATCGTGATCTCAATTCTAAGCAAAAAAAAATCGTGATTCTCATTTTATGCAAAATCGTGCAGCCCTACCACTTATCCCTCTTCACTGGATGGATCTGTTCCACCAAGACACTTTTGGTCATTCATTAGTTTCAGTTTAACAGCTTTTGGAGTTTAGAAGGAAACCAGTTTAAAATAAACCAGCAAATCTAAAAAAAATAAGAAAAACGATATTAACATATTGATAAATATCGATGATATCGATGTATATAAATTTCCTGTAAATTCACGTCGTGAAACTTCATATTTGTATTGTGATCAAATCCAGGTTGGGAACATAGACTGTATAGGGAAGATGGTGTGGGCCACTGTGACAGAAGAGCATTTTGAATGCTTCAGCTTGGTTTTTTTACGGTTTTCATCCTTTATTGTCTGAATTACTCTAAAATTAACAATAATTACATAATGAAAATCATAAGAAATCAAACTCTGATTGAAACCAGTGAGAAGTAGAAGAACGAGTAGCTCTCTGCTGGCCATTGGGTGGAAAAAATGTCAGTTTAAGATCATTCTCACTGGTTTCCCTTTTCAAACCATGAGGCTACGTTCATCTTTCATATTCAGTCTGTTGCTGGGAATCACCTCTGTTCGCCTTTTCTGACTCTTAATACCTTGATCTTTAATTTAGGCCCAAGCAGCCATTGTTATTTACTACATGTTATGTTTTGGGAGATTAATTTTAGGCTTACTTATTTGTAACTGATGAATGTATCTGTTTTACCTGTTACCAAAGGATTTGTTCACACTTGAATAACAGCAGGATTGATTTTTGTATTTCCTTAGTTCGCAGCTCATATTGCAGTTTTAACCCAGACTTGCAGCTTTGGTTGCATTTTTGTTTGTTAAAACAAATGAATATAGATTTTTTTGTAATACCTCTAAAGTCTTGTCTGTTCTCTGTGTTTTCAAAGTGTGTCTTTTTTGCTTTGTTTTTACCAAAGGATGACTAACGCCTTTGATATGAAAGGATTGGTTGGTTGACATTTTTTCTCCACTGGATTTAAGTTAGGCTGAAACAGGGAAACGCTAGAGCATCAGCACCTCAAAGCTCAGTTAAATGTACATGGAAGCACTGACACGCTGCCGGCTGTGGTTAAAGCTGCAGTGGCTAAAATATCAAAGTATCTGCTTTGCCTCCTTTATTGGCACACTACAGTTTTATTTAAGCACAGACATGAATGTTATTTAATTAGTGCCCACTGGTGTTTGCCTGCCCTGTAACTACATAATGCTAAGCTCTGGTTACAGCAAGCCACCATTACCTCTCCCCATTCATTGTGTTTATACTCATTATGGCTTACTCATTGCTGACCAGTGAAGCGTGCTCGTTCTACACCGACTGCCCTACAGTTTCATGATATTTGCATCTGAGATCAAGAGTTTGTTGTTGGATTAGAACAAAAACATTTAATTAGTTAAAGAAATTATACTCAAGGGAGACATTTTTAGTCTTGACCTCTGCGAGAGTAGCTTTGCATGATTAACAGTTCACAATAATCCATGTTTATGTTACAGTAGGCTTTGGTGTAGCACATCAGTTCATCCATTATTTCTTTTAAGCAAATATTTGTTTGATTGGCAGCCTCTTGCAATCAAAAGACTTGAACAGGTGGTGGGAGCTGTAGCTGCTGTGACCATATTAGGGTTATCCCCCCTTATTTACATCAAATGGAGCCAATTTTAGGAACGATTTGTTGTAATATGAGTGCTTGGAGCATTCTGAAGTCTGAGCTTTTGACTCACATAGATTACCTCAACATATCCTCACCTCTTTACTTGAATGTTTGGCCAAAAATCAGCATCCACCACTGTAACAGTGTACATCCACTTTGATATCACTTGCAATCACACTCAAACACACTGCCAGAGGGCCATTTCCACCAACTGCCAGACCCACTTCATGGATAACCTCAGGTATACTAATTTCTTAGATGATGCTTTCACCACATGTCTGAGATCGGTCTGAGATCTCTTGCACTCAAACATTACAGTTCATGATAAGAGAAGCATAACTGACTTACATCGACACCTGTACAGTACAGCCATGCTTCTAGGCTCACCTAAAAAAAAAATAAAAAAAACTTCAGCATGTGTTGTGTGCATTTGGTCACATATCCAAAGCATGTATTATTCAAAGGAGCGTATGCATGTGTGCGTGTTTTTGTGCATTCATGTGCAGTGACGCATGTCTGTGTGACTCAGACTAATCCTATTAGGGCTCTCTCCCTCTCTCTCTATATTTACCTCAACCCTCTCCCTGAGATTAACCCGGGTACTTTCTGCAAGTGCCTCTGCAGCTCGCTAAGCACTTTCCTACAGCACAGCTTGGAGTTCACCGGAACCAGGCTCAAAACTATTCACTCTCTCAGTTAATTCTGCACCCTGCCTGTTAAATCAGCCTTAAAAACAGGATACAAAAGAATCAGTATTATGCTTTGATGGCTTAATGGGTGATATCAGACTCGAGCCAGCAAATTAAGCTGCGAAGGGAAGATTGAAACAAGCCCATCCTACCTTTGCAATCCAATTTGTCTTCTTTTTCCATCCCTCCTTTACTCGCTCCCTTCTTGTCTTTAAGTAATAAGATTTCTAGTGTTTAGCTGGTGTTTTAGGGCACACTCACATACACACACATCCTCTGCCCCTCAATTACAGCACTGCCACACCTCCAGCTATCTGTAATCTCCCTTAGAGGACCACAGAGTGCAGGGTGAACAAATTACAGAGAAAGGGGTGAAGACACAGTGAAAGGTGCCACTAAAATAACAAGCTTCACAGGATTTAAAGGAAGAGGGGGAAAAGGCATATGAAATAATATAATGTCTTGAAAGACAGGAGAAAATCTGGATTCCCTCTGTTTTTTTTTTGTGAGAGCCGAGGAGTTTCAAGGTGAGGTAAATTACTTGTGTATATTTAGCTGCAACTGCACGTACAAAGATTGATGGCCTATTAAATTAGCTTCTAACAAGACACGGCAGTCTTGCTAGTGTATATCAGGAGCTATTGATCAGCTTCGAAAAGTGAAGCAGATTATTGTGAAATAACTTTTCCAAATGTAAGATTTAAGTTTTGACCTTTCTAAGCCTTACAGTAAATCCTCTTTTTTTTTCCAGGTAAGGTCCAGAGCTGCTCAATTTCAGATGTATTTCTCCTACATTAGCCTCGGACGTTTCAGTGCAGAATGGTAGTCTCAAATAGATCTGGCACAGCTCAAAGCCACAGAGCCAAATCTAATTTGTGAGGTTATCGCTGTCAATTCACAGCCAGCAGCAACTTCTGCAACAGAAATACAGGCTGGGCAAGACAGATAAAGCATATTTCTTAGCTTTTTGGCCTGAACTGTATTTCTATATCTGAAATTTATCTCTTATGGGTCTTTTTTTTGTTTGTTCTGAATCATAAGTTGGCTCTTGGAAAACACCATTTCATAAAACCTTTATTCATACTGACTAACTCGTTCTAGCTGGGCTGTTGTATTGTCAGTTTGTCAAATTACCGTGTTTCAATGGGACAACAGGAAGTTTCCTTTTTTAAATTTTTTTTATAAATCTTAAAATTTGCTCCTTTAAAAGGAACCAGCATTTATCAAACAATTACTCCCAATTTAGGGACCTGGCCTGCTGGTTCGTAATGGTGGCATCCTAATAACTGGCCAAACTGAAATAATTTTTGACAAAATAATTGGAACTGCTGCTTTCCTTCTGCTAAATCGTCATGATTAAGAACAAAATGTGGTATCGGTCCCTCTGGATCAATTTTTTATACACCAGTGTGGGGTAATCATTCATTATTTTCATGTAAATTACCATTTGCTATTCGGTCACAGTAGGATGCAATAGTGACTCAGCTCATGCTTTGTTTGAAATTCCCCCCCTCGAAAAAAAAAAATCAAAAAACTTTTTGTGTAAACAAAAGTAATTTGTTCAAGATAGATGTAACCACTGTCTACAGATTGTACCTCTAAAACACCAAAGCAGTGACATTTTGAAAAATGGTTCTAGCATTTTTTAAGCTTTAAAGGCCCTGAAGCAGATGTTCCTAATTATTCTTTGATGCTGATGGAATCCAACATGAGCACAAATAATCTGTCAAACTTGTTTTGACTGTTTTTTGTTTTGCGTGGGCAGTAGCAATGCTCTGGATTCACCTGTAAGTGCACCCAAAATGTCACAGACACTCCAAACTTGATTCTTGCTTATTTTGTCGTGCATATTTGTTGAAAGTCACAAGACACTAAAATATTTCAGATTTAACATCCTGAGACCTCAGCTCTTGTTTTGGATGGATTTTCAATTTCTCGTAGCTATTTGGGATCAGTTGGACCTGACAGGTCTAAAAACAAAACATTACCTATGAAAAGTGTGTCCTCAAGTGTGGACAATGGGTTCATTTTACTGCACAAAACAGTGACGTCTACAAAGTATAAAACACTTTATTGAGCAGAGTGAAGTACTGAAAACCTGAAATTCAATGCCCTGTGACTACACAGGGTCTCAGGGGTTTCACACTAATGTCAGCCTCAATCACAGTTTGCAAAATGAAACATTTATGGATGCAACAGATAGGGAAAAAAAAAGTCATTATTTCAGGACTGTGCTGTACAAGCCACCACACATGCATATTGTTGAACGTATGTACATAAAACTAATCTAACTAAACTTCATCTAACCCTCCTTGTTTCCACAGAGGGCCTTTATCCTTTTACATTCCTGTCTTTCATCATGGTTGACCTTTTCCTAAACCGAGTTCTCATCGAGAACAACTGGGACCAAGACGAACTCAACACTGAGCGTGAGATCATGGGGATTCTTGAAAATCGCATCGTCATGCTGCTCTTTGCATCTGCTGAATGTGAAAAGTGCCTGGAGTTTGTGCCTGTTCTGAACGACTTCTTTAAGAGACTGAAAGATCCAGCATACATCGAATACCCGAAACTGCTCGCACTTATCTACATCAGGTTCCCACATCTTTTTTTAATCTATATATCTGTCTTATACATATGCAGTTACATAAATATATCTATTTGATCAGTTTTGAGATTTCCAGATTTCTCTCTCTCTAGTTTGGACCAATCAGAAGAGAAACAGGAAAATTTCCTCAAAGAGCTGCACAAAAAGGTTCTGTTTCTGGCCTTTGAGGACCCGTACAGGAAGTGAGTGTTTAAATATATGTGCATATATTTAAGCTGTTTGTCAGTGCACCAAGTCTGGAGGACCACATCACTCTTTGTACAAAATTAGAGTATATTTTCATGCCAGTCTATTTCTGTTTTTCAGGGAACTGCAGACCATGTTTAAAGTGAAGGATGTACCAACAATAGTGGTCCTGCGTCCCGACGGCTCTGTCCTCTCTCCAAACGCTGTGCGGGACATCTGTCGTTTCGGCTGTGACTGTTTCCAAAACTGGCAGGAATCGGCCGAGCTTGTTGAAAGGAGCTTCATGCTCAACGAGGAGTTTGACAACCTTAACTTGCGCAGTGCCACTGACCCTGTGAGGAGGCTCAAGTACAAGACAGAGGACGACAAACGCAAAAAGAGATGGTGGAAGTTATGGGGGAAGGGAAAAGATGGAAATGAAGAGGAGAAAGATGGAGCATGGGATACCAAGAGAAATGAGGGAGATAACAATACCTGGAGGATAAGATGAGGAAAACATATATCATATAATATATTCTGTATGTTATCACTCAGACATTTAGGAGAAATATTTTTGTTTTAGAAAGAAATTTTTATCTGCTGTTCCAGAAAATTGATCAGAAATGTTATCAAGATTAACTGCTTTAATTCATAATCAGGAATTTATGATTATGAATTTATGTAGAGCTTGCATGCTCTCTCTGTGTTTGGGTGGTCTGGCTTTCTCCCACACTCCAAAGACATGAGTGGGTTTAGATTAATTTGTGAATCTAAATTCCCTGTGAGTGTGGATGGTTGCCTGTCTCTATGCGTTAGCTGTGCAATAAATTGCTGACCTGTCCAGGGTGTACCCTGTTATAGCTGGGACTGGCTACAGCCCCCTCATGACCCTGAATTTGGATACCAGTGAGAAGATGGATGGATGTATGAATAATAACCGGGAACTGTTTTTTCAACAACCATCAGTCTTTGTTTTTGAATTAAAGTTTATTTTACCAGTTTTTCTTGGTGTGCCATATATAGATAGATAGATAGATAGATAGATAGATAGATAGATAGATAGATAGATAGATAGATAGATAGATAGATAGATAGATAGATAGATAGATTTTTTCATACTGTGTCCACTAATCATTTTACAAACCAGCACAATCTGGCTCTGTGAGGTGTTTTTTCTCAAGCCAAAGACTCTGATGCAGTTGTTGTCTTGCACAGTTTTGCACTCTGGCTTCCAGCTTCTCTTTCTAATCAAGTTAGAACCAGCTTGGGATCTTCTTTGTAGGGTTAGGTTGGTGCATGCCATTGTAGGGAACAATACAGTTTTGTTTTGTTTTTTTGTTAATTTCCTGAGTGGAATAGCCTTCATTTCCTAGAACAAGAATAATCTGTTGCGCTTCTTTTTATTAACCATTTTGAGACTCACTTTAATGTTGCATAAGATGAAAACAAATTTCCTTTTCTTAAAAAACCCCAAAACAAGCAGAGAGCAGATGTAGGCTATAAAGCAGACTGTTTGAAACTAACATCTACTATTACTGCTCATCTGTTGTTGTGGATACCTACTGTATATGTTGATGGTGTTTTTTCTTTTCTTTATATTTTGTTGCTACTATTCAGTTGGTGATATTCACTACCACAAGAGATGCCACTGTTTTTATTCAGAAAACACAAACATGTACAAACCAATCCTGACTAAATGTGTGAGTATCGATCCCCAGGATTCCAGTCTAAAGCTCTACAAATCAATACCTTCTTATTGACTTAGGATCAAATTACTGTGTATAGCAAGAGAGGACTCACGTGTATACTGGCTACTCCAGCTGTGCAACTCTACAGACTTTCTTCCCTCTTCTTTACCCTTTCTACTGACAATATAATTCTTCTGGCAAAGTAATTCAAGACATATCAGCTCCATTTCCAGCAGCATCAGGCAGCTGTTTTCTGAGCTAATAATCAGTGGAATGTACGTGTGCTGCTCAGCACGATAAAGAAACAAGACGAGAAATTAGCTGGAGAAAAAAGTCCAGCTTTCTGCAGCTAACAGTCAAGATATAATATTTTCTCACTGGGGAGGGGAGACAAAAGTGAATGCTAAAAACAGGTAACAGGCTTAAATTAATCAGATACAGAGACTGATATCTGCTGGATATGTAAACAGGCAACTATTTTCAACCACACTGTTTTTTTGAATAATATTTGGGCAAAAAAAACCTAAAAATATACATGTAATTGCATTTTTTGGCTACATTTAGGTGCTGGCGCCTGCTTGTTTTGTAACTGAAATTAATGTCTTGTCAGTGTGTTATTTACTTTCATAACACTGTTATTTGTCTTTACTATTCTTTATTAACTACGTCTCCTCAGAGTTTGCACTTTGTTATTGCATAGTTAAATGTGAATTGTATGCTCTCCAAAATCATTAAATTCTCTATTCTTTTAATATAAACAGTGTCTGTATCACTGCTGTGCTTTCATGGCCATATTGTAGTGTTCCCAGTAGAGCAAATCAAACTATCACTACGCACATATTCCCTGCGGCTCTGCTATTCCATTAATTACTGAATATTAAAGGTCTCACAGTGGCTCACTTCATTAAGGTTCTTTTTCTTCTTTTAAGCATGTCTCTCATTCTGTAATTTCTTCGCTCTTTATTCAGACAGACTTGATTGTTCAGTCACTGCTTTCACATACACACACCATCAGTGCGAGCACTTCATGTTCCTTGTCCCTCTGTCACCTTGTCTTTCAATCCCTCCCTCCCAGACATATGAGGGGAGGTGGAGAGCAGGGACACAAAAGAAGAGGTAGTGAGCAGCTACTGCCACCAAGGTGAAGGCGAATGAGGGAATGCGATACGAACTGGCAGACTGGGAAGTGATTCTAGTGTGATAAAGGAAGAGGTGAAAAGAAATATAAGGCTAGATTTTGAAGGCTATTTTCTTTTTGGATTTGCTGCCTCAAGGAGAGATAATATTTGTTAGAGGTAAGCAACTGTGAGGATTATCCGATTTAACAGCAAGCGAGATTATATATGATTACTGTAATCGATTTGGGAGAGTAGAAACATACAGTGAAACACAAGGCAAAGCCATTAAAATCGCCCAGATAAATATTTCCAAATGTCAAGACTTTTTACTGCTATTGTGAAGCCTTTAATATTCTAATGTGTGTTATGCTACATGGTTTGAGCTATCATGATTAGCGGTGATGTGCCTACTCTTTCTTGATTAATCCAAAGCATATTAGTAGCTTTGCTTTTCCCTTTGTAGCACCCCTTCATCATGGTGGACTTATTCATTGACCGGGTCCTGTTAAAGAACAACAAGGACCAAGATGAGCTGGACACAGAGCGTGAGATCATCATGCGCCTGCAGAACCGAATCCTGATGCTCTTCTTTGCTTCTGCTACGTGTGAGACCTGCAGGCAGTTTGCGCCCACGCTCTCTGACTTCTACAAACAGTTGACAGATGAGTTCTACGTGGATCGTGCTGCTCAGCTGGTTCTCCTGTACATTAGGTAAAACACACAGAGGCACACATATAGGTGTTTATTAGAACTGTAGCATCTAACACTGGAATAGATTTTCTCCTCTGTTACTTTATTAAACTAACCTTGTCTCTAGCTCGAATGTAAAAATTAAACTGCATGCACGTATGTGCACTTGCGTAATGCATGTATGAATTTCCTTTAAGAAATAAGAACCGCAAGAAAAATGACATTGGGAGTAATTTTTACTGGAGCATATCCCTTTCACTCTCTAGTTTGGACCAGTCAGAGGAAGAGCAAGAAGGTTTCCTCAAAGAGCTCCCCAAAAGGTGCCTGTTCCTGGCCTATGAGGACCCCTACAGGAGGTGTGTGAGATTAGCCAGTTAGAAGTGTATATAACCTGCTAGTGGGTGATGGTAATGTAAATCCATTAGCTCTATGCTAGTGTGTGTGTGTGTTTCCGCAGGGAGCTGGAGGCTATGTTTAACGTGGAGGAGGTGCCCACAGTGTTGGTGCTGCGTCCCGACTGCTCCATCCTCATCCCTAACGCCGTGGATGAGATACTCCGCCTTGGAACAGACTGCTACCACAACTGGCAGGAGGCAGCAGAGCTCATTGACAGGAACTTCATGAACAAAGAGGACTTTGAGGAGAAGTCCATGCGCAGCTTCAGCGACCCTGTGAGAAGACTGAAGTATAAGGTGGAAGATGAAAAGAAGAAAAAGAAGAAGAAAAAGCGAAAGGGGTGGGGTGGAGGTGGAGATGAAGGTGTGGAGGCGGATGGAGGAGCGGGCGACAAGGAAGGAGGGGGATCACCATGGTGATGGAGAGCAAGAACGGGAGAAAAACACTGCTGATTTGCCTAAAACTTGCTGCTGTCCTTCACAGCAAAAAATATCGCAGATATTTCAGTAGAAATGTGAAGCTGACCTTATTGTGACTGGCTTTGCTTCAGTGGTACAAAGATCGTGGTCCACAACAGCTCCAGTGTACAGTATGTGGGCAGCAAACAACAAAAAGAAATATAACACTATCTGCAGGAACACTGACAGCTGCTTTGATTTGGCTGTATTTGATGTCTCTGAATGCTGCCAAGTATACAGTCGAGACAAGGTTTGGTCTGAGCCAAGTCTTGCCATTACGGCTTGTTTTATTACACACTGGAGATGATTATAACCATTTCTCCATTCTCAACAACACGGCTCTGTAATGCACTTTTTTTAAAATGATAATTTGTGCGTCCAATCAAAACACACCATGCATAATCTGAAATCAATGAATTATTCAGCGCCATTAAAATAATTTTGTTAGTGACTGTTTTGCTTTGAGTGTTTGTGAAGTCTAGCTGCACTTTACAGACTACACAAGCAGCAATCAGAGCTATTCAACAGGAGTCAAGTGAAATCATGGAGAAACTGGCTTTACTACACTATCATTGAGCTACTTTGACTGTAAATCATCTTCTCACATAATGAAGACCACATCCAGGCTTTGCACACTTCCTTGCGCATGCAGGCTAATCTGATGAAGCTTTCGAGTGATCAGGCAAGATCTTCCTTTGCAACAGTTCCTTCTCTTTGTGACATTTTCTTCCTTCCTCTATATCCTCTAAGTGACCCATGCCTTAACTACATGCTGCCAGTACTTCTAAAATACAAGTACAAAAAGCTAAGGCAGAATGACAGTAATCACAGTAATCACAGCAGCAGCACTGGGGTTGAAATGCATCTCAGAGACAGAGAAGGAAGCCAGAGTATCATCAGGTGTCATCAGGTTTGATTGCTATGGATTGATGTGCTTTAGAAAAGGCAGAGACATGATGATTTATAACAAAGCTCTAACATTACAGCCAGATTGACAAATAGGTCATATTTTCTAGCAGTGCTGCACAAATGTCTGTGCACTGTGCAGCACAGGGTAGCTAACAAACAGCTCATCTCCCCTTTCACCATGATGTGGTCACAGAACTGTAAATGCTAAACTTACATCGGAGCTGGTCGGACCTGTAAAAGGAGACAGATGCCTGAATAAACACAAGCCGCTGTGTGTTTCATATTCCGTTGCTTTTGCCTACACAGCAGCTTTGCTCACTCAGACAAACCTTGACAATATAGCCGAAGCCCCCCCAACCCCGCCACTCTCTCTGCACAAGTACACACGCGCACGCATAAACAAACGTGCACACACGCAGAAGCGCAGACGCGTTGCGCGCTCTCGATTGCAGAACGCGCAACAAGCGGACCAGCGGATGGAGAGAGAGAAGAAGAGAGACGGACGGATGCAAGGCGAGGCCAGGAACGGGAAACTGTATCTTTCCTGACCGTCCAGCTGTTGTCTTTTCCTTCCCCCCTTTAACCCCAGTATTATTTTATAACGCGATTCTTGCTTTTTTTCCCCCTATTTTTTTTAAAGCCTGACATTTCTCCATATCCGTCCTGATGTGCCGCTGCACCCCATCACGATTCTTCAAGGATATGCAAAGCGGCTGTTATCACGTCGACGTTATTTTCCATTAAATGCAAGGATGTACCTAATGAACGGCATCGGAGGCGTACGATCAACAATGACAAACGACAGCTGAGCTCGGCGAGCCGTAGAAATCGACGGAGGGGCTCAGAGCGGTCGAGGTTTGTGCGTTAATTTGCGCCTAATTATTGTTTTCGTGTGTGCCCGTTTATTTCCCTCCCTTCATCCATCGGGGCTATAAGGCCTATAGCCCGCATCATTTCTGGGCATGAAACCCGTGGGAATTATGATACCAACGTGACGCACAGTCACACAGCACAGCGGGAAGACATCGAGCCTCTACAGGACGGAGGGAGGGTGTGAGGTCCAGCAGAGCAAAACCCTGCCTCTCGCACTGATCACAGGCGGAGGACGCCCAGTTGTTGCTGGACAAATCACGCTAATGACTGTCGTATAGCCCACCAGGTCTCGCCCTCCACTAATTCCCCATTGAGTATTAAATTTTTTTTAATGCATCGGGCGCAGCGGAGCGGGAGAAAGGGAGGAGAGTACTGTGGGTGAGGGCGCGGAGAGACGGGATGCGGGAGACGCAGTGAGCGAGGAGGAGGAGGAGGACGAGGGAAACTGGAGGATTGACGGTAAGATATGGATATAGGCTATGAGGATGCACTCCGCCCCTCCTCTCTCTCTCTCTCTCTCTCTCTCTCTCTCTCTCTCTCGTTCACACGCACAATCGCACATATATGATCAATGCCCCAGAGGACAGCACAGGTGCCCCGCTTCTTTCATTGGTATTGCTTCTGCTTCTGCTGCTGCCAAGGGCCATTTGATCACTGAGTGGACATGGATCCCATGCGCTGCTGTGCTGGGGTTTTTAACGCTGGCTGCCATTAAAGCTTGGTCAGTAGTAGCCATGAGTGTTGTGAAATATTCATAGGCACGTGATTACCCGTCTTTGGAGATCAGAGAGGGGAAAAAGTGTTGTGATAGGGTGTCCCAGACTGGAACGCCAGAGGGATCTGTCATGGGTGGTGTGATTTGTGTTCATTAACACACACCTTTGGTTGCAGCGTCATGTGTGCTGCAGTGAGCAGTGATGTAAAACACACGCACACACACACACATACACACAAAAGGGGTTTTAATGCGGGTTTGGTTTGCTGATTCACCACAGATGGGAACATGAGGAGAAAAGAGAAAGAGATGAAGAGAGGTAGCAGAGCGAGTGAGTGAGAGTCCACTATCAATATTTCAGAGAGGGAAAGAGAGGACTGGGTCAGTGGAGGAGGCCAGGCGGAGAGACTGGAGTGACTGTGAGAAAGAGAGACGGAGCGATAGAGAGATGCAGAGGACAAAGGAGGTGAATGAAAGGGGAGAAAGGCTAAGGGAATAGATGGAGGAAGAGCTCAGTGGGTGACAGGACTCCTGCTCTACTGTCAGACTCAATCCCTGATTCATTTGTAGCCAAGGGTGTGCAAAGACATCGTTTGTGTCCTATTAATTATAGATACAAAAACATTGAAAAAGAGCTCATTAATATAGAGAACTATCTGTGAACCCAGATTTTAGAGCGGT